TATAAGTAACCCAAAGCAGCCATTCATCTGGCATCCTCCAAGTTGTGTGGCCAGGTTAAAAATAACCTGGAATACTAGTTGCCATTACCATGATTTGACCTGGGACTTCAGGAAGCTGGCTTGAACTATGTTGGAGTGAGCGGGGTCTAGAGCCCTTTCCTGGAGGACAGAGGTGCCTGAGCTGTTGACATAGTTGGCTCATCTGTCTTGCTCATCCTTTTTCTAGTCAGAGGTCTCAGCATTTCAGACTACTCATTGTTGAATAACTGTAGAACATTCTAGAGTGGGCTGAGTTCTGCAGGGGCATCCTGGGAAAAGGTTGCACCACCCACGGCACCGCAGAACCTCCATTGGCCCTTCAGGCAAACTCTGTGAGCCTGAAGGCTCGTGCAAAATTGGACAAGGCAGTGTCTCATCCCAGGGCCCTCTCACATCTTGGAATTCCCAAGGGGTGGGATATCTCTCACCCACTATAAAGACAGCTGCTGGCTGCCCCTTGTAACACCTTGTGCTCAGCAGTGATGACCTCTCACCTGACTTATGAGCTTGTGCAACCCCTTTCCTGTTGTTTCATTGAATTGTCAAGGATCTCTCATCTTTGGCCTGCACCCTTTGCCCTCCACTCATTGCTATCTCTGGAGTCCAAAAATACTACTACTGAAGAGAGTTACCTGCCTGCCTAAAATAACGTCTTTCAGTGCACCATCTTCTGCCTAAGAACCTGTAATACTGTCTTGGCGTCCAGACTCTCTCCTGGTTTTTGAGCCCTTCTCTTTCCTTCTCAGTGTAGACAGTGACCTTTCCTACTCATCAAACTGGATACATTGTTCTCTCCGTTCTACATCATCTCTTAGCAACTCCTCGCCAAGCTTGGAACTGACCTCCCTCTCTCATTTTGCCTTGATAAGTCTAACTCTGCCTTCGAAGCTCACTTGAGACTCAGCAGCTGCACAAAGCTTCCCCAACATTCTAGCAACTCTTGCTGCCTGCACTAAACTCATGTTGCACTTGAATACCACAGCGTTTAGAGCTGGAAACTTTTTTTCCTGAGGATTTTATCTCTTAGTCCTCCCTCTTCGGATAGTCAGCTCTCAGAGGAAGGAAGGGTAAAGTAAACAAGTGGCACGGGAAGGATTGTGAATCCAAGGGCCTGGTCACCTCTAGGTATTCCACTTGCTGCCTGTACTTATCTGAATTTTTTGTTCTCATCTGTAAAACAAGTAGGGAATAAGGTGGACATATTAGTTTCCTATTTGCTGCTATAACAAGTTTCTACAAACTTAGTGGCTTAAAGCAACACAATTTATTCTCTTACAGTTCTGGAGGTCAAAAGTCCCAAACGGGTCTTCAGGGCTACATTCTTTCTGGAAGCTTGAGGGGAGAATCCATTTTCTCATCTTTGTCAGCTTCTGGGGGTCATCCTCAGTTCTTGATTAATGGCCCCCTCCTCCATCTTCAAAGCACATCAGCTTCTGCTTCTGTCATCACATCTCTTCTCCGACTTTCTCATGCTTCCCTGTTTCCCTTATAAGGATCTTTGTGATGATCGTGTTGGGCCAACCTGGATAATTCAGGGAGCCTCTCTATCTCAAACTCAATCACATCAGCAAGTCTCTTGCTGTGTAAGGTGATTTATGCACAGGTTCTGGAGATTAGGACATAGACATCTTGGGGGCCATACTCTGCCCACAGTGGATTCTTAGGTCTCTTGTGTTTCTAACTTGCCGTGAATCTAAAGATGTATTTCTTCCACTTATTTAAGAGCTTAGCACACACAGTGCTAGGCTTATCAACTTCTTGATAAGTTATGTTTATCCCTGAGGATTTCCTCTTCTCAGACTGTCATTAGGGATTCTAGGGCCTGGTACCATTCAATAATAGAACTGTCAGCACAAACCTTAGGGTTGTTCTGGTTTGACTGCACTTTTACACACAGCAGTTTGACACTGCCTATCTACCCATCTTTGATTTTGTGCTTTGCAAATTTTGAAAAGACCTCAAAGAATTTTATCTGTTTCCCAGTAACCAGGAGTAGCCTTTAAACAGCCTGTTAATTACACCGGTGATTTCTGTTGTATTTCTAGTGGTCTCTGCATAAAGTCGGAGATGTATTTCCAGATCCTCTTGCATAAGTTGATGTAGACATGTTGTTGAGGTCTAGAAGCCAAACAATCTTGGATACTAACCTAGCTAGTCTCATCTGTAATTGCTACTTAGTGTTAAATTTATGGTATTTCACAGCAATTTAGTTTGGCATTTATATGGGAATTGTGCTGTTTTCTTTCCCTCCATCCTATTGGGCAGTTTCCACCTTGGATCACCATCACTTAAAAGGTAGTAAAAAAGCATGCATAACATACATTTATAATGGCTCTACTGTGTTCTCCCCAGTGCTCAGCTCATTGTGCTGAAATAGGATTCCCCTTGGGTTGAAAAACTGTCCTGCTCTTAAAATTTTAAGTTTTGAGGTTACTTTTGGCTGTAGTAGCTGAGAGATACACAGTGTGAGTCAAGCAAAAGTGTAGCTTGCCTGCTGAAGTTTTCTTTCCATTTTATCTCCTAGATGCACCCACTGGGCCTGTGTAATAACAATGACGAAGAGGACTTGTATGAATACGGCTGGGTAGGAGTGGTGAAGCTGGAACAGCCAGAATTGGACCCGAAACCATGCCTGACTGTCCTAGGCAAGGTAAGCACCAGGTCCTTGGATTCACCGCATTTCTGGTTGGTGTCTTCCACTCTTCCATTTCAGCATTCCTAAATAGCTGATTATGGAGAAAAGCCATGCTGGCACTGTGCTCCTTCCCAGCTGAAGTTGTGTGAGGTGGGGACTGAGACATACCTTGTAGTGGCCCACCAGTGTTTATAAGCCCAGACTCTGAGAGAGACTGCCAGTCTCAGAGTGGGCTCTACCTCTTGTCCACTGTGTGGCCTTGGGCAAGTTGCTTTCCCTCAAGAAGTCTCAGTCTCTTGTCTGTGAAATGGGTTAATAATAGAGATACTTTATCTTATACCCTGGGCCAGATGTTTCAGAATTCTGAGATTTGGGGGGTTTAGAAAGGCATTAAGGGGTATAGATTTTGTATTAAGTAACCTTCAAGGGACCTGGGGAAGCACTTAGTAACCAAACACATTCTTATTTGTATAGCAAACCATAGGGATCTTCACATTAAATGGGATAACTACAATCTAAATAGCCTCGTGTTAGTTCACGGCCGCTTTGCCTCCAGATGAGTTCAGGTCCTTTAAGTTTTGCTGCCAAATAAGTTATGGAAAAATGTTTGGGTTTTAGAGCTGTTTTTGGTTTCAGAATGGCAGACAGCAATTATGGTCCTGTATTAGAACTTACCTCATAGGTGGTTAGGAGGTGAGAAGAGATGCAAACGCCTCATACAAGAGTAAGTCCTCAGTAAACGTTTGCTGCCATTGGCTCCCATCACTCCATTTAGAAGGACTGAAAAAGACTTTTTAGCCAAAAGGGTCACATTACTTGACTGCAGTATAAGATAGAAATAAATTTCCTTTAGAAAGCCACTCATCAACAGTCTTAAAATATGACAGGTAACAGCCTGTTTTAAATGGGATGATTTTGTTTAAACTGCATCATTTTGTAAAAAGGAAAGGTTCAGAGAAGGCGATTTGAATTTTGATTTTGTTGGGAGAAAGGTGGTCTCTCCTAAGGATAGTGGTATTTGTTGGATATCTTTTGTATTCTCAAAAGCTACCATTCTAGGTACCGTGGGGAGAGAGCTGGGGCAAAAAACTGTCCTGTTTCCTGACCTCTTGAGGTTCTCTTGGGAAATCCAGGAGAAAGAAGGGGTGGTTGTGAAGCAGGGTGCTAGAGAGGGAGCCTTTCCCAGACTTGAAGTAGCCCCTGCCAGTGTCTCCTGAAAGACCTTTGACCTCAGGTACCCTTACAGGTCTAATCTATTTGTGGTTTTTGCATCCCTCTTGTCTTCTGAATAACTTCTAATCACTTGTCAAGTTCTCCTGCCCTTCGTTGGAAAAAATAACCCCACAGGAATTATTAGCTGTTTGGTTTACAGTTCACAAAGTTGAATTGAGGTGTTTTAGGTGGCTCAGGCCCTGATACTTCATCGTTTAAATAATTGGCCAGAGTTGCTTAATGGTAGTAGGAGAGCAATGACCCCCTTGAGAATATTTTAGTGTTTTCCTAGGAGAAATGCCAGCTACATCTACAGGGTAGGAACAGTGCTTTCCTTGTAGGTATTATACTCCTAATATAACATTTTCTCCTGTACCTTTAAGTGCTGCTATGCAGGAATCGGTTCCTTAGTTTCATTTGCTTTGCCCCAGTCTGATGGGGCTCCATCTTTGTGTCTCTTGCATCTATAATTGGGTTGGAACAGGGATCACAGGGTCACCCTATAGTTCTCCCATGGTTTAGCAGCGGAGGAACTCGTTGAAGTCACTCAGAGAACCCAGCTATTTCCTCCTCCGCCTGGAACAACCATGGAGTGGTTTTACTTGGAGAGTTTTGTATGATTTGGCCTGCTGGCCCGTGAAGCCGGGGGAATAAAAAACCCTAGGCATATATTGAATCATTAAGTGCTTCTCGAGTTTATTCATTCACCAAATATTTATTGAATGCAGAAGCCCAGAAACTGAGCGTGTGGTTCTACCTGCTTGCAAGCAGCAACCCCCACTGTTTCTCTGGGAAAGGCTGGTGGCAGGTAGCATTTACACATGGTTAGTCACTGCAATTTGGCTTCGAGTTTACACCTGAATAAAATCATTAGTACAAAAGCTTGGGCCAAAGAAAGGCGGTTTCACATTTGTTTAAAGCCTGGTCCAGTGTGGGAGGTACAATGAATCAAGATCTCTCTGTCTCTCTCTTCCTCCCTCTCTTGCTCTCCTGCTGCCTTGCTCTCCTGCTGCCCCGCTCTCTTTCTCTCATCATCTTCTTAAAGTGTGGTTCTCAATCTCAATTTCATTAACTACAACAACTGTGTTTTCTTGTTTTCTGAGCTCCCAAGGGCTGGTAGCAAAAAACTAGGGTAAAGGAAGGCGAAGTGATCCCCGTGGGCAGCTTAGTCCCTGCAGACTTCATGATTTTCCATCCATGTCTTGGCTCTTGGCTATGGCAAGAAGCGGGCAGTAGAGAGAGGCAGAAAAGGCATAGGTGGAAAGTTCAGCCAAGATAGGTTGAGGGTGGGGGCTCCTTCCTGTGGATGTTGAAACTTGATGAAAACCCACGAAGGGAGGACTCTGTCCACTGCAGGTGGGCCAGGCATTTGGAAAAGCCTGTGGGAGAATAGGGGTGGCCTAGACGCAAGCTAACCCCTCCCCAGCACCCACCCACCCACTCACAGACAATGCCACGGGGCAAACCTTGAAATAAGAAAGGAATGTCCTAAATTAAAACACGTAAATGCCTCTCCAGGAGTTCAAATAAAGTTTCATTTTAAAAGCAAAAGACATAAACTTGTCACCTCAGTTTATTACTGAGTGCTTTTGAACTTCTCAGAAAAGAACGCTATAAACTCATGAGAGAAAAATGATTTATGATCCCCTCCTTCTCATCTTTTCAGTTCTGTGGGAGGAGGTACTGACAGGATCAGCTAGGGAGGCAGAGTTGGGATGAGGGCAAGCCCCCAACGGGGGGAGCAGTAGGCCAGGGCTCCAGGCCAGGCCCTGCCTCAGACCAGGCATGGGCATATCTCTCCAGCTTTCTGGGCCTCTCTCTTGCACTTAATGTGAAGAGGCTATTCTGGGTTCCTTGTACTTCTAATATTTTGAGCTCCTAAATCATCTTTAAAATCTTTCCTTGATATTCTGATTTGGAGAGTCCTAGGTACAGCATTGAAAGACAAACTCTGTTACCTGTGACAGTTTAAGTCCTAAGAAGTTAAAATATAGTAAAATTGACATTTCTTAGAGTTTGCTATTAAGTAAAGGTCTTGGCCAGGCACAGTGGCTCACACTTGTAATCCTAGCACTTTGGGAGGCTGTGGCAGGCAGATCACTTGAGGCCAGGAGTTTGAGACCAGCGTGGCTAATATGGCAAAACCCTGTCTCTACTAAACATACAAAATTAGCTGGGAGTGGTGGTATGCTCCTGTAGTTCCAGCCACTTGGAGGGCTGAGGCAGGAGGATCATTTGAACTTGGGAGGCAGAGGTTGCAGTGTGCTGTGATTGTGCCATTGTACTCTAGGCTGGGTGACAGAGAAAGACCCTGTCTCAAATAAATACATAAATACATACATACATAAATGAAAGTAAGGGTCTTAAATCATCCCCAAAGCACAGGAGTCTACGTTTATGCCCAGGCATTTTAGCCCTTTAATTCAATCAGGGTTTATTAAGCATCTTATGGAGCTCCTAAGAATTTTGAAGGTTAGCTTCACTGGTGGAGAGTCTCATGGTAGGGAACACAAGAGGTGCTGGTGTTTCTAGAAAAGCCTGGTTGGCCCTGATTCTGTAACTTGAGGCAGAATAAATGCCTCACAACCACCAATCCATGTTAGAGAAGATTCTTAGGGAGAGTTTTGGAAAACAGCATGGGCTGGACATGGTGGCTCACGCCTCTAATCCTAGCACTGTGGGAGGCTGAGGTGTGTGGATTGAATGAATTCAGGAGTTCGAGACCAACCTGGGCAACATGGCGAAACACCATCTCTACAAAAAACACAAAAATTAGCCAGTCATGGTGGCACATGCTTGTGGTTTCAGCTACTTGGGAGGCTGAGGTGGGAGGATTGCCTGAGCCCAGGAGGTCAAGGCTGCAGTGAACTGAGAGTGTGCCACTGTGTTCCATCCAGCCTGGGCAACAGAGAGACCCTCTCTCTCAAAAACAAAAAAGAAGAGCATGGCCAACAGGCATGGCCTAGCTCTCAAGGCTTAAGAGTACAATGTGGGGAAGTTTCTTAATTTTTCCTAAATGACGAGAAAGGGAATTTCATGTCACAGAGACCCAACCTTGGCTGACTGACCTTGGAAAGGATACTTCCATTCTCTGTGATTTCTTCTCTGTCAGTGTAGTTAGGGGGGGTCTGTGAGATATTTGTGGAGCACTTATCAGAGCCTGGCTTATGGGAAATGCTGGATGACCATACAGAAGTCAGCCATCACGTGTTGAGTGTTTGCCAAGTGCTGAGAGCTTTACCTGTGGCGTCTCCTTTAATTATTAAGGCTAATTTGAGATCCTATCCAGATTTCCATTTTACCATGAGCAAATTGAGTCCTAGAGAGTTCTCTGCATCACCTGAGATTGAACAGCTCACACACACACACCCAAGAGCCAAGATCTGAAATAAGACCCTTCTGCTGCATCAATGTTGGTTTCTTCTCTTTGCCTCCTTTTATCTTCACCAGTTTTTCTAGATAAAAATCGGGTGCTCAGCTGGTCACGGTGGCTTACACCTGTAATCTCAACACTTTGAGAAGCTGAGGCAGGAGAATTGCTTGAGGCCAGAAGTTCAGCGAGACCTCTTCTCCACAAAAAAATAAATAAATAAAAGCAAAAAAAACAAAAAAAAACTGGGCATGGTGACATGCGCCTGTAGTACTATCTACTTGGGAGGCCGAGACAGGAGGATCATTTGAGCTGAGGAGTTTGAGGCTGCAGTGAGCAGTGATTTTGCCATAGGATTCCAGCCTGGGTTGTAGAGTGAGACCCTGTCTTCCCACCCACTGCCCAGCCTCTTGTAAAACAAAACAAAACAAAA